TAATTGTAATTGATTATTATTTGTCAATACAAGTCCATAAATTATTGCTACTATTTATTACATTAAACTATATTTATCTATATATAATGTAAATGTATTTACAGATTTCTTCTCTTTGTATCATTGCTACTAAACAAAAAACGAAAAAAGCAGTGCCAGGAATAGCTTACAAATTTAATCAGTGTTATTATTATTATAGAAGAATATTTTTTAGTCGAAAATATTATGTTTGAATCTTCTAGTAGTTTGTCTTCTAGTGATAGCGATGATGATGATGAGGAATTACAAAATATATTATTAAATAATGATATAAATGAAAGAAGGGTAACACCAAAAATAAAAAATTACATGGAAAATGTTGTTGTAAGATATACAAATATTGAATTTAAATCACATTTTAGGTTGGTCATATTAATTGTAATTATATTGTTATTAATAGGAAACATTTATTTTAATAATACTATGATATTATTTATTGCAGAATGGAGCGAAATACTTTCTACTTTTTATTATATTTTATTGGGCCAAAATTAGATAATCTTTCATTTAGAGGAAGAGAAAAAATTAATGCAGAAAAACAGTTATTAATAACTATTTATGTTTTGGCAACACCAAATTCTTATCGTTCCATATGTGAAAGATTTGATGTTGCAAGATCAACTGCATGGTTATGTGTCAAGAGAGTAGTTCGAATAATATATAGCATTCGAAATCAATTTATTAGATGGCCTACTAATGAAGAAGCTCAAACAACATGGACAAACATTCAAAGGTTATATGGATTTCCAAAAGTTTTAGGTATTGTTGATGGGACGCACATAAACATTGCTCGACCAAAGAAAGATGCTAATAGTTACATTAACAGAAAGGGCAGATTCTCTATGCAGTTACAAGTAAGGAATAAAAACATTTTTACTCCCTTATTATTTTAATTGAAGATATTAAAATTACTATGAATTCTAATATATGTTGAATGAATAGAAAAACAGCAAACTGTTAAAAGTAATTACATTTTCTTTTTATATATTTTTCTAGGTTATCTGCAAAGATGATTTGTCCTTCATTCATGTATTTGCTGGAATGCCAGGATGTGTTCACGACATGCGAGTGTTTCTTTATTCTGGTGTACAACGATATTGTACTCCAGAATATTTCCCTGAAGACAGTCATTTATTAGGTGACGCAGCTTATACTATACAGAAAAATGTCATGGTACCATTTTATGATAATGGTCATTTAATCAGAAGACAAAAAGAATTTAATACCAATTTGTCATCTGCTCGAATAACTGTAGAAAGGGCAATTGGATTATTAAAGGGACGATGGCGTTATTTATTGGATAAGTTGCCAATGACACGAACGGATTTAATTCCATATTATATAGTTAGTTGTTGTGTATTACACAACTTTTGTTTATTAAACAATGATGCTATCGAAATCCCTGTCATTATACCTGATATGCTACACGAAATAGAACCGCTTGCTGTTAGTAATGAATTAAAAGAGGAAGGAAATTTAAAAAGAAACAGATTAATGGAAATAATTACAAATAACAATGTTTAAAGAAAAAATTAATCTGTTTTTATGCATGAAAGTGTGTGTGCGTGTGTGTTCGTGTATGTGTGTGCGTGCATGCGTACCTGTGTGCGTGTGCATGTATGTGTAAATATTAATATATTCATACATATAGATGTAATATTCATTTAAAAACAGTATATTAATTTAGTACTTACATATTGTAGTGTTAATTACAGAAACTTAAGACTTAATAAGAACTTATACTTTTACTGTATATTCATACTTTGTACGTTTACTGTATACTCGTATAGTTTGTACTTTTCCTGTATACTCATAAATGTTTACATTTTTTTAAAACTTTATCACTTTTAATAATTAAATATGTTAAACTATATATATATATATATATTAATAACTGTCAATATTTATAGTATTTCTTTTTTCATGTAATTTCGCAGAAATATCTTCATGAAAATTTATACTTAA